ATATGATAATTATGCCATTAAACTAACCCTGACTACATGGAGAATCAAAATAGGCTCGGGAAGAGGGGAAGTTCAATACCTTTGCTCTGAGAAAGGAAGCTTCACTCAGAGGTGCTCGACATGTTCATGGAGGTCCAAGGAGGCAAGCTATTGAGCCTCTAGTTGTGTTGAAAGGTCTAGACCTAAATTCAATCAAGGTTGAATTTGGGTGTTGATCAAAGTCTAGTGTGGAGGCTCTCTGTGAGGGGGCTTTTATAGGGCTTTGTCTGCTTTCACTGTGGGGAAGGTGTGTGCAAAAAAAAATTTAATTTTTGTGGAGTTTGGAGCTGTGTAGAGTTATGTCCTGGTTTTTGGTAGAAATTTGAGCTCAAAATTGAGCTTCCACAGTGGGGATAAGTGGGGGAAAATGATGGGTTTGAGCTGAGGATATCTTAAAGAGTCTATGGGATCAATTTTATAGAGTTTCCTAAAGAAACTTGCAGCTCTATTTTTTATGGCTATGGGGTTGAGGTTTAAATAAATAGCTTAGGGTGGCTGGCATGGCCTCCATTTTGGTGCAATGTATAGCTTAGGTGGAGGACTTTAAGATCTTAAACACCAATAAGAGCTAGACACATTGGATGGGTGAAATTGGGTTTAAAATTTTTCTTGGGGCACTCAATTTTGGATCCTCCAGTGACTAGGGTGGCTGGCCATAGCAGAAGAAGTGGCTAGGACGTCACGTGAGCTAGAGGAATCTGTCACAACCATTAATTTGGGCTAATGATGGGTTTTGGCAAAGTTCTCTTTGGCTTAAGCAATTTAAGAAATAAATCCCTTGATTTAGGAGACGTTTGGTCCATGGCTCATCTAGTGTGGATTAAGTGACTCTAGCTTGGGCACTAGAGTTCAAAAATTGGCTCTAGAAGTTTTGCCTTGGTAAATTTGACATGGCTAGGTCAATTTTGGTGCATGGGTTCAATGTGGGTCTAAATGGCAAAAAGTTTGGTTTGGGTTAGGCTAATCATGACTTTGAGCCCAATTGATTGATCAACATTGTGTAGATGATTGTAATGAAGATTTTTGGTGAAGGATTTAAATGAATTTGAGCCAATTAAGGGTTCAATTTGAAGGATTTTGGAATAATGGTCAATTTGGCCTTGTTGGGCTAAACTTGGGTCTAGGTTGGGCTAAGGTTGGGCTAAGTCCAAATTGATTGTTTAGAATGGTCTATAAGAACATCATGATGATTTTTCAACATAAATTTGGTGTTGAATTTGGGGTTAGGGCAATCATTTTGATAGAATTTTGATGTACAACCAATTTTAGGCAAATTTAGAAATTTTTGGACTTAGATTAAAATTGATTGCAATTGAGGCATTACCAAGGCCAATTTGAAGGTCATGTTTGGTGTTTAGGATTGTTATTAAGAGTTTAGGATTCAAATTGGGGGAAATTAGAGCCAAATTGAAGGACATTTAAGGAGAATTTGGGGAAATTGGGACTTTAAGGGCAATTTAGGGGTTTTAGTCAAAATGGTCAAATTGGACAAATTGGGTTTAATTGAAGGGTCCAAATTGATTTTGGAGACATTTGGAGTGATTTTGGAGATTTTTGGAAAGTTTGGAGTGCCAAGGTTATTTTTGTAATTTTGGCATATTTTAGTAAATTTGGAATTTTTGTGTAGTTTTGGGTAACTTCGATATTTTAAAGAGGTATCAAATGATTTATGGACAAATTTGGGTATTGTGGGTGGATTTGGGAATTTTGGTAATTTTGGCCAAATTTAGGGCTGCAAGGTTATCTAGGTTATTTTGGGGATTTTGGGGCAAAAGGCTAAGTTGGACATGTTTAGTAGAATTGGGGTGCCAGCCACCCTATATGAGCCATGTACCAATGGAATCCCCATTTGGGTCCTTTATGTACTGGTCTTAGCTATACCCTAGCCTAAGGCTACTGGGTTTAGGGGACCATCTACATGAGTCTCCCAAAAGATCAAGGGATTAAAGTTAACAAACACTGGTTTAGGGTTGTGAGGGTCTATGAGTGAGAGTGAGTGTAGTGAGTGAATGTGAGTGCCTTAGCCCTAGACCATAACACAAAGTCAACCCTAAGGTCAAATAGTATTATGGGAACTCTCCTTGAGCTCCCCCATAATGACATCACCTACTATGTTCTAGAGGTTAGGACAAATATTTAGAGCTTCATGTTGAGTAAAGAAGAGGGTATAATTTTTAATGTTGAGGGTTTATTTTCTAGTTTTCTAAAAATAGTCAATCTGAAAGTCCTATGGCTAGACCCTAGGCTACTAAAGAGGAAAAATTAAACCTCAACCAAAAGTGAGGTCAACAAATGGACCCTCAATAGATGTCGTGTGCTGAGCAAGAACAACACACGTATTGGTGTTGACCAACAAGATCAACAAATCCAATACATACTCCTAAGCCAACAGTCCTAGAAGGAGGTGTAGAATTGTGTGTACTATTTGTTTCCGCTGGGGGATTAACAAGTGAATATCTAATCGGCATCGAGGATTAGGAACTCTCGCTGGGGATTGGAGAGTGGGTGTTGAGTTATTAAATTTTATGCTTTTATAGAGGATGAGAATCAGCATTCAAGTGATGACCTCAAAAATTGAGAGTAGGATGCCATGGTGGGGGTCATATTCCTATCTCGAAAGGTGTGAGTAGAGAATTAGATGCCATGGAGGGGATCTTATACCAATCTCAAAAGGTTGAGAATAGGACTCGATGTTCCATAGAGGGAAGTATTACTCCCATCTCAGAAATATAGGTAAATAATTGGATGCCATGATGGGGGCCTTACACTAGTCTCAAAGATATAAGTAGAGAATTGGATGCCATGGAGGAGGTCTTACACCTATCTCGAAGATATTGGTAAAGATTTGGTTTTCGTGGAGAAAGTCTTACACCTATCTCGAAGATATAGGTACAGAATTGGATGTCATGGAGGGGGCCTTATATGAATCTCAAAGATATAGGTAGAGAATTGGATGTCATGGAGGGGGCCTTACACCAATCTCGAAGATATAAGTAGAGAATTGGATGCTATGGAGGGGGTCTTACACTAATCTTAAAAGGTTGAGAATGGGATGCGATGTTTCATAAAGGTGATTCTTACTCCTATCTCAAAGATATAGGTAGAGAATTGGATGCCATGGAGGAGACCTTATACCAATCTCAAAAGGTTGAGAATAGGATGGGATGTTCCATAAAGGGTAGTCTTACTCCTAGTCTTACTCCTATCTCATACTCCTATCTCAAAGATGTAGGTAGAGAATTTGAAGTCATGGAGGGGGCCTTACACCAACCTCGAAGATGTGGATAGAGAATTGGAAGCCATGGAGGGGGCCTTACACCAACATCGAAGATGTCGGTAGAGAATCGGAAGCCATGGAGGGGGCCTTATACCAATCTCAAATGGTTATGAAAAGGAAAGTAGTGTTAAAGTATTGGCCTCGAGGGCAGGAATGTAGTGCAGAAAGTTTATGGTGTTAAATTCATAAACGCGTGTCATGCAAAAATATTCACAATGGTGAGGAAGATGTGTAAGATTTTGTGAGGTCTTATGCAGAATGTGAAATTCCGCAAGGATATAAAGAGAATTAGTGCAGACAAGGATAATCGCGCTGCACGAGCAAAGTGTAAGAGACCTCGAAATTGAAAGAACCAACTCAAAAGATTTTTTTATTTTTCTTGTTTTTTTTATCACATTTAATCATTAAAATATGTTTTTAAAATTTAATTTTAGTTGGTTGATGACTTTTTTAAAAGAGAGTTTTTATATATATTATTACATTTTATTATCATAAAAAATTTTTTGGTTGTTTTGTTCTTTGCTCATTGTTGTTTAAACCAAAGTATGGCTCTGTGGCTTTTATCCATCATACAAAAAGGGAATTGAAAAAATAGACAAAATTTTGAAAGAGTTTTCATTAATCTTCTCCAATAAGTGTTACAGATTGAGTGCATGCCAAAGCCTCAAAAAGTACAATTATGCATGACTGTATCAAAGTACATCCAAAAATATCCTATGTTGAGTACATATCATAAGCTGAGCATGTCTAATATATATCATATATACTTTGATGAGATGCAGTAAAAAGGAATCCTCTCAGTGTCTGTCTCTAGTGGGTCTCAGTGTCTGTCTCTAGTGGGGCAAGCTCCTAATCGAGCAGACCTACTAAGCCATGCTCCAGGACAAGTGTTCCTTTTGCATGTGCTTGTAGGTCCAACCCTCTCATAGCTCATATGGCAGTAGTTCTTCCATCTCTGGTCCAGTCGAAATTGATATGTCATTTTGCTATCATCCATCCTCTGGAAGGTAATTGACACCCTACGGTGTTGCACCTATGGAATGCAGTGTTCGACGACGTCTACTCCATTTCCTTTAATAAAGAGAATTAAACTCAATGGTAGCAGAATATCCATGGCTCCTCTTAACTCACGGGGGAAAATAATATCAATTTCTTTTCCAAACAGAATGTTGCTCTTGCTCATGAAATAAGCTATGCAGAAAGGTCTCACAAAATCATGATGGTTAATGTGCGGGGGTATGCAGTTGCCTTCATCATATATGTTGATTATACAACTATTGAGAATACAGTCAGCAGGCAATATCCTCCATCGGACCATTCCCCTACTCATCCACTTTATCAAGTGGGGTAGCGGATCCGCTTGATCATGTCTCGGCAATCCCATGAGGATTTCCTTGTCTATCGTTAGTGAAGTTGCAACAGCACCCACATTTTATGGTGATCCTGCCCTTTCCATGCACCCATTTTTGTGGCTCGGAAGAGGCTCTTTCCATCAGTAGGTCAGCTCGACCTTTGTCTCTCAGATAAAAGATGTAGTCAAGAATACTTCTTTCGTCACTTTCGGAGAAGAGCCTGATATACAGCTCCAAGCCTTCTAGTGTATTATTGAACCTTCCTTGAACTTCTTCATTGAATTAAAAATCTCTTTTATTTACTCTACTCATTTTACAGTAATCTATCATACTGATGATCAGCGGCTGTAGAGGATGCTCCCTTATTTCCACATCGACGGGAATCCAGGATGGTATTGTCCCTACATGCAGCAGAATGTATGACTCTACGTCTGACAAGATATATGGCTCTGTACTCAGTGGGACATATGGTTCTTCATTCATCAGGTAATCTATGGTCTGAAATCCATCATCAGAGGATACATAATCCTCTAAAGTACTGTAGCACTCAAGGTGGAGGACATTGCAGTCCGGGCACTCCATAAATGCTCCTGTAGCTGATGTACATGCAACTATATCTGCATTGCATGTCGGGCAACCCATACAAAGAACATCTAAAATTGGTGGTATCTCTGACTCTGTAACAAATCAAAACTCATCATCTGTAGCAGGAAAATTGGAAGAGGTCTCTCTCATGCCTGGATGATATATGTTCCCCTCAGGAATATGGGTGAGCAAATTTTCTGCCTCCTTTTGGCATCTTCTCTTTTCGCATAAGAAATCCCTTTGCTTTTTGCAGTTAGCATTCCTATGTTGAATTCTTTGTAGTTGTGCATCTTGTAGTCTTTTATCATTGGCAAAGACTAGGCCCCTGGTTGGTGTAGCTATCATAGACAGTAAGCGACTAGTTTCCTCCATCGGGTTTTGTTGTACTATCACATTTTTCTCCTTCTGTGAGGAATTGTTTCTGGTACCAAACCTTAACAATGATGGCAGCCCTTCATTTTATTAATGGGTAACCATGTCTATTAGAGGCTTCTCATATTTCATGTCTACTTGACTGAAGTCCATGTCAAAGTCCATGGTGCCGCCCCGCGGCGCCCTTTCCTCATTGAGTGTGAGGTTCCAGCCATCTTTAAAAGTAAAGATCGACCTATGACCTGACATTTCTTTGCAGACAACGGGAAAAATATCAGTGAGCTGAAAGAGCATGAACAAGAACAAAACAAAGTGTTTATTAAAGAAAATTTTAGTTTATGTTAGTGAGAAAATTATTTATTTATGTATGTATTTTGTTTAATTTAGTAGAATATCAAATTTAAAGATAGAAAAGAGAAAATTAAAGTGTATAATTTTAAAAATTTTCATTAAATTGAGGCTAATTTTATTACAAAATTTTGGACCCGGTCACAGAATTTTGGCCAAATAGATAACCCAAGAACAATCAAAATTTTGAAGTTTCAAATCATACGATGTAAAGCAATGTCAAGTTGTGTAGTATGTCTTCAGGTATCGTCCGTTGATTGCCATCATGGGTCTTTCACCACGAAAATCCACTACCTGGTAGGCTCCTCCTACGTAGACCCTTTCTATGACAAATGGTCCCTCCCAAGTTGGCTCAAATTTTCCACCTATCTTGTGGCATGCAAGAATGGGTCTTTTGAGTACGAGTACAAGGTCACTAACTTTGAATGTCCTTGTGTAGACCAATTTTTCATGAGCTTGAACCATCTTTGCATGGTAAAGTTCCAAATGTTGTTGTTCTTCTAGTCATTTTCCCTCAAGACTCTTTAGTTCTTAAAGTCTGAGTTTTGCACTTTCTTTTGTTGTAAGCTGGTTGGTGGCAGTGACTCTGAGACTCGGTGTTTAAACTTCTAACTGTAGTACGACCTCAAACCCCTACACAGGCATGTAGAGTGTGCACTGAGTGGGAGTCCGTCCTGAATGTACTCTGGTATGCCCACAAGGCTTCTAATAATTTTTTGTGTCAATCTCTTTTGTTTTCTTCCAGTGTTTTTCTTTTAATCTGTACCAATGACTTATTGAAGGCCTCAGCCAAGCCATTTTCCCTAGGATAGTAAACTGTAGAATATCTCCAATCTATCCCATGCTGTTTGACCAAATTTTTGATTTTGGTACTTTTAAAGGCTATCCCATTATTGGAAATTATTATTTACAGTACTCCGAAATGGGAGACAATTTGGCTTTTGAAGAATTGAAGGATGTGTTGTTCCATAACCTCTCATAATGGCAATGCCTTTACCCATTTGGAGAATTAATCTTTAGTAACAAGTATGAATCTGTGTTCTCTGGAAGACGGAGGGTCTATCGGACCTATTATGTCTGTGCCGCAACACTTGAACGGCCACGAGGCGATGGTTGGTGTAGCACAGTCGAAGGTTGGTGACATCTTCTGGCTGTATCCATGCAATCAGACATCATTGCTGGTGTTGACCTCACTATTGCTTGAGGTTTAGTTTTTCCTCTTTAGTAGCCTAAGGTCTAGCCATAGGACTTTCCTATTGACTATTCTTAGAAAAATAGACAAGGAACCCTCGCCATTAGAAATTCTACCCTCTTCTCTACTCAACTTGAAGTTCCACTAATTGGTCTCAACCTCTAAGTACTTAGTAGGTGGGATCACTATGGGGGAAACTCAAGATGAGGAACCCTTAGGACTGTTGATCCTTAAGGTTAACCCTGGGTGTTGGCCTGGAGCTAAGGCATTCACTACACTCACTACACTTATATACACCCACATTCACTAACAACCCTAAACTCAAATTTCTCGACTAGAGCCCTTGTTCTTTTGGGATACTCATGTAGATGGTCCCCTAAACCTACTAGCCCTAGGGCTATGGTTTGGCTAAGACCACTATGTAGAGGACCCAAAATGGGGTTTTCATTTGTCCATGGCTTGTTGGTGTTGGTGATGATTGGTACCGTGATGATTGGTACCTCAACTATACCAAAATACCCATCTTGGCCTTTGTCCTTAAAACACCCTCAAAATACCAAAATACCCCTCTTGGACCCAAAATTCCAAAAATTCCCAAAAATCATAAAAAATCCTAAATATTCTCAATTTCATTTTTCTAAACTACCACATGACCCAGTTTCGCCAATTTGACCATCTTTAACCAAAACCCCAAAATTTTCCTTTAAAGGCCCAATTTCCACAAATCCAATTTAAATGTCCATCAATTTGACCTCAATTTCAATCCTAAACTCAAATTCTCTTTTGATATGATCAAATTAAACTAAATCCAAGCTCAATTGGTCCATGATTTGAACCCAATTTTGAGTTAGGTTAAAGCCCCAATTTTGACAATATGACTCACCAAATTGAACCCATAGCCTAGTCAATTGGCCTCAATTAATGTTGCAAAATCTTGATAACATTCCTATACATCAAAATCAACCATCAATTGACCTTGGTG